AACCTAATAGTACAATTTCATCTTTAGTAAAAGGAGTAGCCTACGTGTTAACTTATTCTAAACATTCCAAATATTTCATAAACACTTCCTGTTGGAGATAAGACCCTATTCTGTTATGTCTAAAATTTAGCCAATTATCTTATCAGAAAGTGGACTGAACTCTTTGGGTTTCCAGATCTCATGAGCAAAAGAGTGCAATAAGTTCCAGTAGGTTTTAGCTTTTTATGAACAAGTGCTGGTCATAAAAAGATTCACACATGACAGTTATGACATCCTTGTTTCTGTATTATTACATTTAGGTGAGCTCATTTACAAAAAATACCATATAGTGCTTTGTATGAATAAACAAATACTGCCCTCTAATGCATAAATGTGTGAACTGCATTGTGTTTGAATATTTCTCCAAAGTACATTTAACATTACTCAGAAAGCTGCTATGTGTTAATTGTAAAAATCCCACACATTTGTACGGTGTCCCAGTTGTAAACATTGTGTCCACGCTCTAATGTTGTCCTGTGTTTACAATTGTCTCCTTTTGGCTCCTCCGGGAATGGGAGTGGGATTTCCTGCAACATTTTTACGCCCAAACTTTGTGGTCACAGTTGACTTTAGACACTGACACACACACACACATGCAGACACACACACATGCATACACACACAAACACACACAGACACACACACACACTCCGGTGACAGCGAAAGTAACCTATTGTATATTGCACTTTATTACAGTATTGTCATGATTACTTTAAATCATGTTATACTTTAAAATAACAGAGGAATATCAAAGTTAACCATTTAATTACCTAATAGGTGAAATAACATGACTTTTTATGATTTAAGTTACAAAATGATTTAAAAACTTTAATTTGTGGTGTATATATTGACTATTCTTGAGTTTCAGCTTTGTGTTTTATGTGTCAATTTGATAATTTTTCTCAGGTCAAACATAAAATATTTTGTTTAAATTTGCAAATTCTTACAGCAGCAGTCTTAATTTTTCATCATTCTGATCCATGGATACCGTCTGAAGATGCATCAGAACTTTTTTTTATATAATTATTTTAATGAATACACTTAAAGTAGTAAAAATACCTCATAATATTAAAATTGTTTTAGATCAGATGCGCTTCCTGTTCTATACGCTCATTCTATTACATTTTAATTCAGCAAAAGGATACATGTCATGTTGTCATGTCATTAAACGTGGGTAATGTGATTATTAAAGTGTTTATTTCAGAGATTACAGACTTAAACATCCCTCCATTCCTCCATTACATAACATTGACTTTGTAGAACTCACCAAAGGAGATGTTGGACCCAAACGCTTCCGTGCTTTGTGTTTATATTCCTTTCTTCACAGCCTCAGCTCCTTTCATGTGTCCGATTGTGCTCTTACTGTAGCTGATGGGAGTCGCGAGGGGAGAGGAGAGAGCAGGTCATGGCTTCCTGTAGGCTATTTCTGCAAATTAGTACAAAGATTGGCCTGGAGCACTTATCCACAGAACACACGGTTAAATATATTAACTGAGAACTTTCGGACTAGTTTTGATATTTTCACTTATTTTACCTAAACAATTTGACTTGTTTTAACACATTTCTGATTTGTTTAAATGCTCTGTTAACGAAGTGTTTTAGTAAGCAGGATATTGTATTTGAAATATAAACTTGCAACTCCACAGATTGACAATAAATTATTTTGAATGAAGAAAATGTATCTCAAATCAGAAACGTAAGTACAGTACATTTACAAATGTACACGTACCGTAAGATTGTGCCTAAACTAGAACTGAAACTGGACTAGGCAAGGATTAAACCAGAAAAGGACTTAACCAAGTCTGTATTAGGAATAACATGGGATTCAACAAGGACAAGTGTGAGATAAAATATATAAATTCCAAATGTATTCATTGCTTTGTATTCTTTTTATTCATTTAATTTATTATTTTTATTCTGCATGTTTGGTTTTATGAGTTCCTTTTATCTGAAACATAATTCTGCTGATTTTTTAGAGTTAAATGTTACACTGCTATGTACAGCACTTGGTCTTGTTTATAAAATGTGCTTTACAAATAAAGTTGGACTGGATTGGAAATTCAAGTCTCTTTAAATTGAATGTGGGCCTTTTGTTACAGAAAAAATCATAGCAAACTATAAACCTAATATTGAAACTAGGTCATGACTGACAATAATTCTAAACCAGGACAATCCATAACAGGACTGCTAAAAGGAATGTGCAGCAACAAATATATATCAGAATGATCTCATAATTAAATAAATAAGCAGCTCAGGTCTTATAATGCAAAAAATATTTTTCTAGCTCTCATTTAGTAATTATTGTAACGTGTACTCACATGTTGTATTTCTTTTTGAAGTGCAGGATGTATGCATGAGGATGGGGTAGAGTGAGGGGTTGTTGCATTTAAAAATCAGTTTCCGTTCACAAGTCTACCCTGTGACATCCTTGACTACAGGAAATCTTTGATGTGTGACTAACTGAGATTCCATACGTCATAGATCATGATTTGTAGATAGTATAACTGTGAAATTTCTTATCTTTCTTTCTTATCATTCATTCATGATGTGTAATTTAAGTATATTCCTAGTCAGTGGTGGATGGAGTACTAGGACACTAAGGTGCACTGCGTAATGTTTCTAGTAGAGGATCCGCCACCTGCTTGTCTCCATGGAAATGTTATTGCTTTGTCTATAATGTTCCATAGTATACTAGTTTAAATCTAGATTAGATTAACCTAGATTAGATTTAGATTAAACCTATCCATCACAAGGGAGACAAGCAGGTTACAGCACTATGCAGCATTACAGTTCAGATCTGTGAAGAGTTTCAGGAAGGAATTATTGTATTTGTGAGCAACAGAAACATCTGTAATGAACACATGCTAGATATATATGTTTAATGCCATACTGTGGAAAATTCAAGGCAAAGCAATAACCTCCATGGAGACAAATCAAAAATCTAGTGTTAAAAAATCTAGTGGAGTAGTAATGACAGATACCTGCTCTCTGATGTAATTTAGTAAAGTACAATTAAAAGTAAAAAGTATCTGCTTTAAATATACATAGGTAAAGTTCAGATATCTAAAATACTTGAGTATAGTCCTTTACTACTTTACTTTGTTACGTTTGTTTCATAAGATTACTATCGGCTTTTTCTGTATTACAATGAATCACACCTCTAAAGACAAATAAAATATTCAATTACATCTTACCACTTTTCTTGTAAAGTGTAATAGTTTTTAATAGATTTTCTGATCTTACAATACCGACATCAGTCCACTAGATGTCAGTAAATGACACTGACGGTCACAGTACTTTTAATCCTTAAACCTGTTGGCTTTGTGAATAACAGTCGTATTTATACCCACCTTGCTGCTGCTCAATAGATCTGTAGTTTGTATGTATGATTTAGTTTGTATCTTAAGTTAAAAAAACACAATGACAACGCTTAGCTTCAGAACAAATATGATAGGCTACGTTGATGCTAGACGCGTAGTTCCCCATTGGCTTAAGCCCCGGGTTCACTCCGTACTGTTTCTGGGTCACAATATCAGGGCTAACATCAAAACAACAGGGTGGTATCTGTAGCTGTTGAACTGCTGTTTTAATCACATTCTCATTGCGTGCCATTCGTATAAAACAGCGGCGTTCCCCTTCAGATCAGAGCGAGATGTGCTGAGGCAGCGGTCTCCGTAGTTTAGCCGAGGACATTTAGCTTGTTTTGCTCCAGTGTACGCGCATTACATAATGTGGCGGCGGTAAGCTATGCTGCTTAATGCAAACCTTTAGCCTGACTGGAACCCGAGGAGGTTTTATAACTCTACATTTTGTTTATACTCTCATTTAAATAGCCATGGCATTCAAAAGAGTATATCTTAGCATAGCCTATGCTACTTTTGGTACGCTAGTTGGACTCTCGGCTTTCCTAACTTGGAACCTGGCTTATAAACAGCACTGGACAGCAGCTATGGGAGGCCTGTCAGGTAAGTGAAACTTGTTATTTGTAATATTCTTTAGTTTATTTTCTGTGTACAGACACTATTGTGGGGGTTTCTGATGGTAATGCATATTTTATAAGTCGATACAATTGTGCGTAATGGTCTTTATATTCAAAATAATCATAATTACGCACGACCGGCAAACAATACACCAAGGGTAAATGAAATTATTCTGCATCCTTTTCTCTTGTACTAATTAATCTCTGTATCAACCTCTTAATTACACACACATTATAATAGTTTTCACTGTTCAGTTGGCTCCATTGTTGAAAAGCTTATGAGTCACGCATAAGCACATGACTAGATTTATTGCTTCATCCACTCAAAGCTTTTTGCACAGACGATTGTGTTTTAACCATTGCCATTTCGCAATGTGTTCAAAAGTGTGTACGTAATGTAATTTGTATGTGAATTGTGTATCTTCCTGGTTTATTTCAGGTGTGCTGGCCCTGTGGGTGCTGGTCACTCACATCATGTATTTACAAGATTACTGGCGCACGTGGCTCAAAGGCCTGCGGTTCTTCATTGGAGTTGGGATGCTCTTCTCTGTTTTGGCTCTCTCTGGTTTGATCACCTTCCTGACACTTGCCATCACACAGAAGCAATGTAAGACTCCAGCATGTTACTCAAAACACAAAATAATTGGGATACAACAGCAACTGAATCTCAGGGATTGTTATGTTATTAAAGTGCCTATTATGCTATTTTATAATTTATGCTATAATGTTGTTTCCTCATCAAAAACATACCTGGAGCTGGGTTTTGTTTCATTCACACATGTTTAACACAAAAACCTTGCAAATTTAGGCAGAGTTCTTCTCCCAAACACTTTGTTCCACCTTTTGATGTCATGTGGTAATACAGGAAGTGCTCCACTGTGTTTTCACATTTATATACCTTCAATGGGGTAATTTCAACAATTTCAGCCCTGGAATGACCAATTTATTGAACTAAAGGTAAAACTTGAGAGCACTTTTGAGCTTTGAGGATGCAGACATAATAAAAGGTTTACTTAAATATGAGTGGATGAACAAAACTCTAGTTACGTTTTTGATGAGGTAACAACTTTCTATCATGGTTCAAAGCTCAAAAAAGCCAATTTTGTGTCATCTAGAAGATTTAAGGGTGTAGCACAATGTAACTTTACTGATTAAGAGTCCATCTTCAGTTTGTTCCACAGTATGGCATTGAGTTTATCTATTCACATGAAGGCAAGCAGATGGTGGTAATGGGACAAGTTACAGATCAGATCTGTGATAAGGTGACCCTGCAATAAAAAACAATAAAATACACCAATAAAAACACATGCAAATAAATAAATGTTTGATGGATAAGCTGAATGCCATACGATGGAACTTTACAGGCAATGCAGTAACATCTCCATGGTAGCTGACCTCCACCAGAAAAGTTGCATAGTACACCTTACTGTGTAAATCTGAGAAAAGAAAAACAAACTGGTCTACAAAAGGTCTCAACTATTATTGTCATTATTCAGGATATGCCATTGTGTTCTTCATTGGGCAAGACACAGAATATCTTTAACTCAATCATAAACATGGCATGTATTATGTCTGACAGTATGCTCTGATCTTAACATTCATTTTATCTGTTCTGTCTGTTCTCCAGCACCCACTGACCCTACGAGCCTGTACCTGTCTGCGGTGTGGAGCTTCCTCACTCTGAAATGGGCCTTTCTCCTCTCTCTGTATTCACACAGATATCGGCAGGAGTTTGCAGACATCAGCATCCTCAGTGATTTCTAGTCTGGATGCACTTTACACTACAGTCAGTGGACTTACTATGAAGGCTATCAACTTATTGATCAACTTTAGCTACAATTTAAAGTTTGATAATAATGAGACAGTGTGTTATATTTAATGGAGTCACCTGGATTGTAGTGCCACACTGAATTGCACTGAGCGAGCTTTGTTTCTAGCCTAACCTGCTCTAGTACCATGTTACATCCTACCTGTCACATGTTTGTGGTGGCTGTCTCTAAGAAAACTTTGTCAATGTTTTGCTTACTTGTATTTTCAAAGGGGCATAATGTGTTTTCTACTAAAGAATATGAGTCACTATGTAAATCTGAGAAAAGAAAGACAAATCAGTCTGTAAAATACCCAGAATACTACAAATATATATATATATATATATATATATATATATATATATATATATATATATATATATATATATATATATATATATATATATATATATATATATATATATATATATATATATATATATATATATATATATATATATTATACACACACATTTGGAATCCATTCTGTCGCCATTTTAATTGAAAAATTACTAGGAATTTCCTTTGGTTGGTAATCTGCTGCTTGGTTTTATATAGTACAAATTCACAATGAAAGTTTTATTCATGTTGGGGTTTTAATGTTGTAAATATAATTCTTAATTTGTCGAGTTTGCAAAACTTGCACTTGCTTTTTATGTCCTCCAGGGGGAGACATACTACATGAAATAATGTTAACATTCCTCTAAAACAAACAGAAATGAATTTGATGACAAAAAATGCACTTTAGTGTTAATATTGATGCCATGCTTTTGCACAGATGTATGTTATCATTCTATATTACACACTTTATTTTCATTTTACATATCTGTGTTATACAGTGGTTGTGTACAAAACATTTATATTATTTTGAGTATTATTTTAGCCATGAATGAATATGTGTATTTTGTTTCCCGTGTACAACCTATTGCTGTTTTGTCCATGAGGGACTGAATGACTTGATGTATCAAGTAGAAATTTCATTTATTAAACATACATCCAATGTTCCACTATAATAACTGCTTTCTTAGTTATTTTGTGTGCAAATTTTACTTTGTTACCTACACTGGCCAGTGCTGGTGGATAGAGGAGCAAAAAAATAATGTTAAATTAAAATGCTACATGACAATAACACTTAACTGTTAAGGATCACTTATAAATAGTAATCAAAATGAGAACAAATATTTGGTGAAAATACTTGAAAATACTAGCTAATTTGTCATGCATTAGCACTAATGATGATAAACACAGGATTGTATCATACCTTCTATCACTGTGACATCTTCATAATGTCACAGAAAGATTATGTCACTTGCTGATAGCCGCAGGTGTAACCCAAAAAGGGTTTAAAGGTGCACTATACAACTTTTCTGGTTATCTCCATGAAGTTATTGCTTCGCCAGGATGATGACTCCACCAGGCTAAGTAAATGGTCAGATCTGTTGAGGTGACCTCGTCAGAGCCCTATTTTGTTATAATATTACCATATATAACCATTAAACAGTGTGTTAACAACGCTGACATTTCATCCCAAATGTACTTGTTACAGTAGTTCTATGGCATTCAGTGTTTATATCCACTTTAGAGCTAGTTTGTTGAGCTCCGCCTTCACCATGGACAGGGTCAGAAGTGGACAAATACTAAACAGGTCAAACATGAGGACACTGAACATATCTGAACACAAGGCTTGGAGTCACTCTGCCCTCATTCAACATCAAGGTACAGATTTATTTTCATTGATTCATTTTAAAAAATGCATTTTCCAGCTTTTCTCTTGTGAAAACTCTTGAATATACTACTATGGATTGTGTTCACATCATTTCAGATGAAGTGCAGGGGCCTACATAACTCTAAATGTTGAATCTTATTATTTGGTCGAGATTGGCTTCTTAATTATATCTTTAAGTCCTTTCAACTGACAACTGTTGACCAGTCTGTCACCAATCTGTAGTCTGATCAGTTCTATACTGTAGACTTCTAACCTGTCCTCTAGTTTGCTTTTTAACTATAAGCATTCTAGCATGTTGTGATGTGAACACAACCTATTCAATAAAATATACATGTTTTCAGACTCCATTGTAACAGACATACAGTCATATCAGAATTTGAATACCTTTAGGGTCATATAGTATTTTCAAGCCATGCTCCAGGACCCGCCTCGCTATGTGATTGACAGAGCTGTGTACAGCCTCCCAGACTTTGAGCGAGAATATGACAAGAAGAGTCGACAGTTCCCCATTGATGAGAAAGTAAAAAAATTCTTCAGGTAATAACTACACATTAGGAAAGCATGAACAAAGACTTCATTCTTAACAAACAAATCTTTTTTTTTTTTTAAGAATGACTTAGGTTTTAATTACTTAATTAATACTCTAACTCCTTAATTAAGTAGCTACTAAGCCTTTTTTAATAAAACTATGTGTTCATCATGACTTAAGTCTTTGTTCAAGCTTCATGAAGCCTAATTAAAGTCTTGTTATTATTAATTGGTACCCTTATATGTATCCATTTTGAAGTGCTTGTTTTATGATAGAAAGCAGAGTTGTGTACACATTTAACTTTTTAGTTGTTTGTTGTTGTCAGATGTTCAGGGGCCAGACTCCGGGCCCTCCTCTTCCGGCTCTTTCCCATTCTAAGCTGGCTGCCCCGGTACAAATTGAAAGAGAACCTGCTGTGTGATGTGATCAGCGGGGTCAGTGCTGGGACCATACAGGTGCCTCAAGGTCGGCTATGTTTTTATTATACACATGAAAGGGGAATTGATAATATATCAATTGATATATCAGAATATATATAAATTTAATAAAATATCAATTTTCACCTCCCCCCTATCTCCGCCCATAGCCTTGTATTTACTATTATTGCTATTAGTTAAAAATTCAGACATCTGGCCATATAACATATAAGTTTTGTACATGTTATGTAGCCTGTCCCAACGTTATTCCTTACTTACATTATTTATTTCAAGCATCCTTATTATTTACTACAATGAGTTTATATGAGTTTACAAATTTTTTTCAAATACATGAGAAAAAAAATCAGGCACAGGCAATGACAAAGCTCTCCATGTTCTCTGAAAGTGGTGTTGCTCTCCAGGGATGGCATTTGCTCTGCTGGCTAATCTCCCTCCTGTCAACGGCCTGTACTCATCTTTTTTCCCCCTCATCCCGTACTTCTTCATGGGCACGGCTCACCAGATGGTCCCAGGTAATGCATATTCTGATCAGCATCATTATTGAAATGACATGTAAACAGTTACATCAGATGTGAGAAATTGGATTTCTTTCTTCAAATCTTATTCAACTTAGTATGACACGGAAAATGGTGCAAAAAGGGTAAACAAAAGACAAAAATGAAAAAGAAAATTAAGAAAAAGTTCACAAATGGCACATTGATCATTATCTTTATTGAAATTCCAAATTTCCCTCTGATTGTTCACACCCCTGCAGGTTTGACAAAGGAAATTAAACAAAGGCAAATCCACAATGATATCTGTTATTTATATACAATATCAGCCTTGTCCCCACTCCCTCCACCCAGAACCATGATCATGCAATCACATGTGACACATGTGAAACCACGGAGCACACTGGCCACCCATCATTTGCAAACAAAATTACATTTCTCTCCCATCATGTTTTGCTCATTGGTTCTGCAGAAATCTACAGATATTTTTGTTCATTCTTTCCTTACAGCAGCTATATTTGTTTTGATACCATTTGACAGACCACAGGTGTTCCTGATTGGCCAATCCACCTGTCAATCACAGTCATCTTTGTAAAGCGTTGAAAAAGTGTACATTCTATAAACCAGGCAAAACTAACGGGGCAAAGACAAAAAATTTAATAGAAAATGTTAAAGTTTGAAATAATTACAACAGTTACTGTTGTTGTAATCCATTGATTAACTGACCAGTGTCACTAGGTGTTTTTGATGATCAGATTTCTTTTGTGCCTGTAGCCACACAACAAAATCAGGTCTAATTATTGAGTTATTTGATTATTCTAAAAATCTGATTTTGACTGGCCATGTAAATGCACCAAGCATCATTTCTGTTCAGTAGTTTAGTCTGAAGACATTGATAAGTGTCTGTAGCTGTGGTGTGCAGATCAGCCCTTCCACTCTAAGTGCAGTGTGTTACACAAAGCACAGACTGTGCATTATCCATTGTGTTCTTTCAGGAACCTTTGCTGTGCTCAGTATTATGGTGGGAATCGTGTGCTCTGATCTGGCTCCAGAGTCACACTTCACTCACTTCAATGAGACTTTAAACAGAACGGTAGTGGACACAATGCGCATGGGGGAAGTCCGACTGGTTATATCTGGAACATTAGCTTGTCTCACAGCTATTATACAGGTAATGGTAACAAAACACATCATAAAAGTTCAATAAATATAGATGGGACAATATCTAATGCCACAAGATCTTACATTCTGAGTACAGTTTTTTCTTCAAATCAACTCACTACATTAATCACAATGGATATCTTGATCATGAAATTTAGACTCCAAAATGCCTGTTATTAATGAGGAAAAAGTCGAAAACACAACACATGTTGACTTGTCTTTCTCTAATCAGTGATAGACCAACACAGACAGAGTTGCAAGAAACAGCTGTGTTGATCTTATGTGGCACTATAGTAGCATGTAATTCAATGTGAAAGTATAACAACTATTCAGTACACTGGATTATATAGAAGTAGTATGTTACAAAATACATTTTAATGCAAATAATCAGTACTGTGCAATTACATACATTTTCAAAATATTGTTATTATTTTTTCTATAACATAAAACACCTGCTCCACATAACTGCTCTTGTCTAGGTTGGCCTTGGCTTCCTGCAGTTTGGTTTTGTAGCGATTTACCTGTCCGAATCTTTTGTGAGAGGTTTTATGACGGCAGCTGGACTACAGATCCTCATATCTGTGCTCAAATATATCTTTGGGATAAAAGTTCCCCCTTACAGTGGTCCTTTGGCTGTGGTCTATGTAAGTGTTACAATATTACCACATCTTTCCTGTTTTCTTGTTCTGATGCTGTCCCTTTGTTACTAGACCCTTTGGGATATTGTTTGTGGTCTTCCTAAAACCAATATCGCTTCACTCCTCTTCGCTCTGGTCAGCGCTGTGGTTCTGATTGTGGTGAAGGAGCTGAGCGCCCGCTACAGACACAAGCTCCCATTTCCCATTCCTATGGAGATTATCATTGTAAGTAGTTACTGTTGAATGAAACATATTTCTACTTCTATTACTACTACTACTACTACTACTACTACTACTACTACTACTACTACTACTCTACTACTACTATTACTACTACTACTACTACTACTACTACTGCTACTACTATTACTACTACTACTACTACTACTACTACTACTACTACTACTACTACTATGTTTGGCGCCTGCTTTTCTCCATTGTAATGTTGTTCCTTTGACTAAGGAAAAACATTACATTACACCCTTTGGATGAGTGGCAAAACATCTTCACTCTGAAGCTTTGGCCCAGTTCACAGAAATTAATTTTTGGATCATACCTGGACGACTGAGGGATATCTTTGACTAAAATGTTCTACAGTATGGCATTAAAATGCTTATAACTGCTATTTTACACTATATACAGGTAATTGTGGCCACAGCTATTTCTGGTCCTCTGGATCTTCCAGAGATCTATAATATGACCACCGTGGGGGAGATCCCCTTGGGGTAAAGTATGGCTGTTATTACACTGCTGCTTCTCTCACTGGAACATTTGTGCTATTGTCTTGTCATTGAGCTTTGTTTTGTAGTTTTCCAGCTCCAGTCCTGCCCACAGTGAGTCAGTGGAGTGACATGTTAGGTACAGCGTTCTCTTTGGCCATAGTGGGATATGTCATAAACCTGGCCATGGGGCGGACTCTAGCAGCTAAACATGGATACGATGTGGACCCTAATCAGGTAAAGTCACCTTCATCTCAAATGGTATATGTACCATGTACCCTAGCTTTGGGTCATACCCTGAGCTAAAACAGAAGGCAGGGGCAGATGGTGCATAGCCTCGCTTCTGCCAGTCTGCCTCAGGGCAGCTGGGGCTACAATAGATATCTACAGTGAATGAATTCCAATGTGCTTCAGTTATTTAGTTGGAAGGGAAAAAGCAATTATTTTCTTATCTTATCATATCCTCTTAACACGAATTATAAATACATACAGTACAGATGAAATACATTTTTTTGTTTTGTACAGGAAATGTTAGCTTTGGGCTGCAGTAATCTTCTTGGGGCCTTTTTCAAAATCCATGTGATCTGCTGTGCTCTGTCTGTGACTCTGGCAGTGGACAGCGCTGGGGGAACCTCACAGGTCAGGCTTTTCAGCTGAATGAGAAGGGGAAAGGGAGTGCATTTATGTGTGTCTTAGGAGCTGTCTGTCTGTAGCTGCCTGTCATTGTCTGAAAAGGACATAATTGATAATCTTTCTGTATATTGTTGCAGTTTGCGAGTTTGTGTGTGATGCTGGTTGTGATGCTGACCATGCTTGTTATGGGAGCTTTCCTAAGTCCACTGCCCAAAGTAAGTGCATAACATGAAAATGTTTTCATTTAATCACGTGTTTAACATCTCATTTTGATTCCTCAGTCTGTGCTCGGAGCTCTGATTGCTGTGAACCTAAAGAACACCATCCTCCAGCTCTCCGACCCATACCACCTGTGGAAGAAGAGCAAGCTGGACTGTGTAAGCCACAATACTTATAGTCAAATGTACAGCTAATTTTAAAGAACCACTATGTAACTTTTCTGGTGGAGGGTTGCTCTGTTATCCCTTGGAAAGTTCCTCAATATTGGATTCTATCAGAAATGCTTCACAGTGGACCCTTAATTTTCTAAAAAAAAATAAATATATAAAAAAAAATATATATGTATATTTCTCTTCCAGTTTATTTGGGTGGTGTCATTTCTGGCCACGTTCTTTCTCAGTTTACCATATGGAGTTGCTGTTGGGGTGTCTACCTCAATTCTTGTTGTGATTTTCAAAACACAATTGTAAGTAAATTCATCTTTAACTTCTAAGATGCAATGAATGAAAATTGATGAATAAATAATGTCCAGATTTTAACAATATTTGTATTTCTAGTCGTAACGGTTCGACAGTGGCACAAATAGGTGAAACTGACATCTACAAAAACCCTAAAGAGTATAGTAAAGTAAGTGGATTTTTGTCCTCATTCTACAATATTGTAATTTTAAAATTGCTTTCTATACAGGGTACATCTTTAACTGGTATCAAAATCGTCAACTTCTGCTCCCCTATTTATTTTGCAAATGCAGAGATGTTTCGGCTGAGGGTCATTAAAAAGGTAGTGTGACCTCTGACCAATGTAAGGCAGCTATTGAAGCGTATCCAAACTGTGCATGTGAGTTTGACTGTACTGTCTGTGTCTAGACTGGGTTTGATCCAGGGAAACTGCTCCTGACCCGTCAGAAGTTCCTGGAGAAAGAGCGAAAAGAAAAGGCTCAAGAAGAGAAGAAAGAGAATGTGAGGAGGAGGACTGTCATCTCTTTAGTGACTATGAAGACTCAGGTACACAAAATAACACACCAGTAATACAGACTGGCACAACAATAGGAACAATATTTTCTATTCCTGTAAAGCCAATGTTATAAAGACTCACTGCTAAAACTAATTTTGTGGACAAAATTTCTATTAAAATGTTAAGACTACTTGCCTGATGTTGTTACAAACAAATGCATCGTTTAATTAATTAATCACTGGATTTATATAGTGTCTTTTAAGGCACCCAAAGTCCTTTACAGAGCATTATTCATTCACTCCACATGCAGTGGTGGTGAGCTATTATTGTAGCCACAGCTGCCCTGGGCCAGACTGATGGAAACAGGGCTGCCAATCTGCGCCATCATCCCCTCCAATCACCACCAACACTCACTCACGCCACTTGCATTGTAGGCAGTGTGGGTGAAGTGCCTCCCTTACCTAAAGACACAATGTTTTTTGGTGCCCCACTGTATCCCCTGGTATTCCCAGCTGTACACACCAGACATACCCAACCCTGCTTAGCTTCTGAAATCTGAAGAGATCAGACTTTGAAAAGCCAGTAGAGCCACAATTTACAGAGTTTATTCGAAAGCTGCTAGTCTTATGGCCTTTACATGTCACTAGTTCACTACTGTTCAATAGATCACTTTTTATGATAGAGATGGTTCAAAGGCAGTCAGATGAAAACAGTGATTATAAATATATTTTTATAGATAGCTAATTACAAAGGCTACAACTGTTTGTTATAAAACAATCATGAACAAAATATTGTTTTTGTGAGGGCTTTTTATGTGTAGAGCTTGCTAACTCTGCAGTTTATCTGAATTGCATCTTAGTCTTTTATTAATTTAGAAAAAGTTCATATTTTAGTCCTCTCAAATAATAAATGTGCCCTGAATCTTGATTTTAAGATATAAAATCATAAAACTTCTCAAACACAACAGTTGTCTGAAAATCACCATTAGATATTTTTCCTGCTCCTTTTAATAAAATAATCGAAAAGATGCCATGATAATAATACAATCTGCTTTACTGGATGTTCGGGTCCTTGTTGGAAATCATTTTCATGTAATTTCAGACCATATCCCAGCTTGATCTCCAAAATGACTTTGACCTCGGGGAGGGTAGTCCTCCCCCAGCGGACCCTCCCACCAGCTACATAAACTTCGGCTGCAGAGAGAATGAGGAGCCTGGGCAGAGGGAGACCCCGGACCCCCCCAGCCCCTCTCTGCAGCCCCACCCGGTCCCCTTCCACACTCTGATCCTGGACATGGCTGGAGTCTGCTTCATCGATCTCATGGGGATCAAAGTGCTGATTAAGGTGCCATAGATTATTTGTAGTAAATTAGGAGTCTCCATCGTATCCTCTTCAGCCTTAATTTTTTCCCCCGCAGATGAACACCAGCTACAAAAAGCTGGGCATCCGTTTATATCTGGCCAACATTCAAGGTAATATCACAACTTCACTTTCATATTGACCATTAAGGTGTGCCTATCTGACCTTTATTTGTCATCATCAGTGGTGTTGTTTATATCTACAGCCCGTGTAGGTTTGTGTGATTCTGATATAGAGCCTTATCAGTTTTTATCAGTGTATTTGTTGCCTATAGCTCAGGTGTACCAGGAACTAGAGGAAGGAGGGGCTTTTGAAGAAATCTCCCGCAGTGATATTTTCCTTTCTGTGCATGATGCAGTTCTTTTTGCTCAGCGGACGGCAGCTGAGAGAGACAAGGTACAGAATACAGCACAGGCTTTGAACTCATGGGAAAATGTCATTACAAGACTCTGTTTAAAAGTACATGTAACTTCACCTACATGATTCCATGGAAAATAGAAAGGTAAAACCATACCAAGAATCTCTATAGAGATAGATACATTTTGTCTCATACTGTGGAAGATTATAGATGAAAGGGACAACATTTCCGTGGAAACAAGCAGGAAGAGGTCCTCCTCCAGGCCAAATTAGAGTCAGGTTTGTGGAGGTGCAAGCCCACAGTAAGAACATGTTTTCAGTGAAATAAACACAACCAGAAAGGAAACAAACAAAGCAAACTAAAATACTTTTATTCTCATCTATTTTTTTTTTGGCTGAAAAGTTACATACTGGGGCTTTAAAGATTTATTATATTGAAGCTGGGATACCTGCAGTTATTTTTGTAAACAAGTACATTTATCTTTTCCCTTATAATTTCCCTTGTGGACCAATACATTTGATCTAAGTCTAAGTCTAAATTAACCCCCTTAGATTATGTTGGAAAAGAAGCATCAAAATCACAATGATGTGCATTGTCTGTCTACTTGTAAAATATTATCGATTGAAAAGCCTAGAATAAAGAGCCTTTTAAGTAACTAAGTAGGTAAACTAAAATTATGTAACATTTTCATGCATGTGAAAGGTAACAATGTGCCAAGGGTTTGGGAGAGTTAGGGATAAACATCATTCCTCCTCTAGAGGTTTGAAAATCAGGTCCCTCAGCCTTAGTAAACACATGATGCTTTCCAGTATTACTTATCTGGTTTACAACAGTTAGCTATCACACTATCAGGTCATAACCAAGGTCGAGTAGATTTGCTCTATGTATGAATTTGAATGTCACATTGGCTAAATATTTGGTTATGCTGTTTTAGGAGGAACAACTGGCAGAAGACCTTGACTTTGAATTTAATGATGAAACTGATCTGGAAAAGGTATGTGTTTTTAAAATTAAGTTTTACTTGAATTTTTTATTTTTTTTCTAGCAACTGATATTTTTTCTTTCTTTATTTTTCAGAAAATGTTTGATGAATAACCATTGTTCAAACAATTATCCATTATCCATATGTTTCTGTAAAACTTCCTTTTTCTTACCATATGCTACTGCATGGTTTGTAATGTACATACTCATTTAAACTACACTTCACAAGTTTATAATGATTTCTGTACTGACTAAATATTGATGTCTTCATTTTGTGAAAACATGTCATGTTATGTTAATGCTTTTTATTTATTCAGAAAAGCTTCAAAGTGATGAAAAATTAGGAAAATGTTCTTAAAAAATAAATATATATCTATTAAATGGTCATAGTGCTCAAAGTGGTTATTTGGCCAGCCAAAACCACACACAAAACTAAGATGTGTGGGTTTGGAACTTTATCCTGTCTCAGTGATCTCAAATGAGCACACAGAGGACTGAGAAACAAGTGAAGCACCAAACTCTTATCTCAGGTAAAATGAGAACTTAGTAATGACTTTGTTCTGAATGTTGCAAGAATTTTATGGTAAAGGTGTATGAAGTTTCAAAAATGCAATGGAGCACCTGTATCACCACAAGGCATGAGTGTTCTGTTTGTCTAAATATGCAGGATTTGAGAGTTAAACATGAATGCATGAAACGAAACACAACTCCAGGTGTTTGTGATGAAGAAAAAACAGTATAACAGATCAGAAGGTCCTTTAATAGAGCTTTTCTACAGACCCACACACAATGTTCTAATTAGCTAAAAAATAAAATAAAATCAACATATTCTGAATTCAAGCAAATAAAAAAAAAGTCTGTATATTAAAGTATATTATATTACTGTGTGCGTACTTGCTCCTATAGACAGCGCAGCACAAGAGACCATAACAAACAAGCCTAATGAGGTCAACAGTGACTGCGCGCCCGTCCTACACACTAAACCCGGAGCAACCTGCTGACTGTGCTCCAATGTACAAGTGTTACGGTAATTAAGGTGGAGCTAGTGCCTGACCACAGCTGTGAGGGCCCACAGCGAGCCCCAGCCAGCGCTCCCACAGAGGCAACAACTATAAACCAAGGTAAATAGCACCGGCACATTCACTCGGCGTTGTCTCATCGTTTTCTTGACAAAAACAACAGAGGAGCGTGGCCAGATGAGCGGGAGCGTCATTAGAATAAAGCAAATTAGCCCAGCAGTTGGCCGGGGAGCAGGTGCTTAAAGGCCTGTGGTGAAGAGGCTATTACGGGTTTTCAAATGACTTCACTGCACAGAGTCCTCAAGTGAGACTGCAAAATAGCTAGTAATTTACTCTTTAGATAGCAGTGTGTTCAATCACATTTATTTTACTGCCATACAAATATTACAATTTCCTTGCTTGATCAAACTCAATTGCATGTCAAATGTATAGTAATAAAGATAATAACTATTGAATTTTTTTGTTTTTTTCAAATGAAGTAATCAGTATAGGACTGCTTGTCTCTGATAGAGGCACAGCGGACCAGTTTCTTTGTGATTCTGCAGTTTTCTTTATGCCAGATACTAGGGATGTAATAATATCCAAATTGTCACGATATGCATCTCATGGTACGATATTTATTGTGATATTTTGGAGAGGCTGATATAAGTTTCCAGTGAACATTTTGTGTATGAAGCGCCAACAAAGCAAAATCCCGTTTGTTAAGCGAGAGGTACAGAAGACAAACAGGCTGAGCTGGCACTTTCTTGTTCGACTGGTTTTAAAGCAACATCACATCTTGGTCGCTTTACAGTGGAAGGTGTTTCTTGGTGAACAGCTGGTGCCTGACTTTTTAAAATTCATAACCAAGGTTCGGGATTTTGCTTTGATGACGCTCCACATACAAAATGTTCACTGCAAACTCAGGATGATTTCTTAGGCAGCCAAAGGTTATCTTTTTGATCTTTCTTGTGTGTCAATACTGCCCATCACCTTCATCTTTCACTATTTTTCAGTTGCGTTGGGAATGGAAACAGTTTGAGTCACACAGATCTGATTCCCTTTTGCAGTTATGGAGTTTGCAAACTTCCGAAGCCCGTTTCTCGAGCTGTTTTCCACTGTTAGGACATCCAACAACCACACAATTACGATGTCCGAATCCTACAACTAAAATATGACAATATCAGAACCAGGAACAAAAGCAATGTGGTTCAAAAGGCTTGAAAAGATCGGCTTTGACAATAGACGCATCCCACTGGGAAATCAAACATGGCGGTTTGATGCTCACTTTTTCGGAGGATCCTTCCCAGTATGCATTGCGCGATGACCGGAAGTCCGAATTTGTGATGCATGTATTCCAGACCCTTCTGGATTTGAACAGAATGTAGAAGGGACTGGCTGGTCAGGCACGACTTACACAAAAAACAGCTCAACATTCCCCTAAAGAATATCCTGATAAAGTGCAATTAGAATTAAAAAGCAAACAAACAAACAAGCTCATATATCACATCGTCTCTCTCACACTGATGCTGCGTGCGTTTTTAGATACTTGCAGTGAATAAACAATATACTAATCAATACCAGAAAACTCACTCCTGCCCTCTACTGGGAGATGGACATAATTACATAATTCAATCTCAAACCAAACACTAGTACAAGATCTGCTGCAGCGTTGTGGAGTCTGCAGGGCCCGAATGGATTGATTAAGATATTAAGAAATCATCTGGAGGTATCCTGGCAAACATCTGCTCCACGGACCTCCTGCTAACCTCTCCCCTCTCTCTTTCTCTCCCTCCTCCTTGTTCTCACTCATTCCACTCCTCTTCTTTTCTCCCTCCGTCCCTTCATGTCCCCCTGTCCCTCTCTTATATATCTCCTTTTCTCTCTCTTTCACTCTTACACTCTTCCTCTCTCTCTCATCTTGCTCTCTCCCTCTTCTCTCTTCCCCCTCCCTCTCTTTTTGTTTATCGCTCTCATCTCACTTTCCATCCCTCTCTCTCTGTCTTTCTCTCTATATCTCTATGCCTCCCTCTCTCTCTTTCTCTCCACCCCTCTGTCTCGCCTTCTCTTTCTACCCCCCACCCCAGCTCCCTCTCTCCCTCCCTCCCTCTCTCTATCTTTCTTTCTCTGCAGTAAATTGGGACCTCGAGTGATTACTAGATTCCTGTGGCGATCAGCTTTAATTTGTACCACTGGGCTCTCATCACTCTCTGTCTCTGGAAGTCAGTGTGTGTCAGTGTGTTTCAGTGTGGTTTTTCATAGATAGCAGCTTTACTTTCACAACTCACACTTTCGAGCAATAGGTAGTTACTGTAAAAAGATACATGAAGAAATTATAGATTACATACATTGGTGGTGGTGCTGGTGATGTGGTGTTTCAATACAATACAAATGTTCATAAGCCAACATATCAAATCTATGCTCAAATAGACAGGTGTAAAGTGTGTACCATTTTGAGTAAGAATGCAATCTAAAATATTACTGATTATTATTTATAATGTCTTCAGGCATTGCACTCTTGACACTCTTGTCAGGACACACAAAGAGACAATTAAATCATATAAATACATATCTATATTTTTTTCAGATTCAAGTCCAAATTTATTTAGAACATTTTTTATGAATAATAGTTTCCAAATGCCTTCATAATATTTGCATGTAAATAAGTAACACCTGAAACTTACAGGTAGCTTTAATAACAAAGTAAGCCAGTCAGTGTGTGTGGGTCTAACAGTCATACGACAGCTTTTATTTACAAAGATATTAAAAGGTGCTTTTAACAGGTGAGGATACTACTGCAGGGGTGCGGCTCCACCCTAAAGATGGGGTGAAGGAAACATGCTATAAAGTGAGAAAACAAACAAGATTAATACAAAGAAAACAGTTACCACAACTGAAAACACCCAATTACATCCCCCTCCACACCCAGCTACCTCCAGCCCACACCTACTGCAGAGCTGTAACAAATTAACAATAAACTCAAACTCAGAAACGGCAACCAGCACTGAGCCTGTAACACAGTGCAGTTAATAAAATACATCAATCTAAATTAAACAATAAGATAAAAGTTAAAAGCATACCTCTCTGATCTGGACTGTTAAAACCCTTAAAATTATATTTACAAAAGTTACAAATTTGTTTTCTAACAAGATTAAAATGTACAAACATTACATTTGTTTGGCTCACCAGAAATAGCCATGTGTTAGGCCTGCTCTGGAAGAGGAAGTCACCTGGTTCCCCTTTGACCTTTGTAGTACCTTGCCACATAAGTAAGAACATCAGTAAAACCAAATGAATATTCACAATAAATAACATTTTTTTTAATATCATATTCACATATTTTTCTTGGGTTTGGATAGACCTTTAGTGACCTTCAGTAGACCTTATACTATACTTATGACTCTTTAAAGTGACTCTGCAAGTGACTCGTCAGCTGCATAATTCAATGGAAATACAAAGTGAGGATATAGTCCACATTTTATGGAACAACATTCCCTGCAGGAGAAGGCCCCCCTTCAGGTCTAATAATCTGGTTTGTGGAGATGCAAGCCCACTCACAGTAGGGACGCATGTTTTTCTTAGCTTTCAGTGGAATACACACAACCGAAATAAAAAAAAAACAAAAAAGACCAACAACAACATGCTTTTTTTTTCACCTACCAAATTGACATACTGTGGCTCTAAGATATTTGTTTCTCAACATGCAAAGCTATAGTTTGCCAAAAATATAAATCATTTAAGCAGTAATTCATCACATTGTTCAATCTAAGCATGCATTTTTGAAACCTTCTAAATTTCACTTTTATTTTCACACATGTCTGACTGACCCATTAAAACCTCATCTTTTCAAAAATAATGATCACGATGAACAAAGGAACGCTTTGAGTCAAATCCTTTTCTAAATTGACTTATAAAAGGCTGTGTGCATTTCACATTTAACTCATATGAAAATTAATTTTACACTCCCTGCACCTCCACAGACCATAGTTTAATTAACAAGGCTCCCTTTCCGAGCAGAGATTTATGTATTGAATATGTTTGCACGCCTTGTGCTTTCATATTATTGAAGCTAATTGTGTGGTGTCGGGGTTATCTCCTCACTGTGCGCTGAACCGTGTCTTTTATCAGGAGGGGGATTCCCTGTGAAAATATTCTGCTCTGACCTTTGATGATAAATGCTTAAACCGTGTGGCGCTCACACTATTAAAAACATGCATGCTCTGTTTAATGACTTAGAAGGTCATAAATATGGTACAGCCCAAAT